ATTTGAACATTTCGAAAATGAACAGACAGTACAGAACAGTATACACACAGAGACAAGATACATAAACTAAAATGCAAGAGAATATGAACTCAGACTCTTATGTAAACCATTGACTACAGTTAGAGTTTGTGCAAGAATATGATCTTTCAAACGAAGGCCTATTTAGGGAAAAAAAAACCAACACTAACATTTGCTCTAAAAAACAAAGTCTAAGATACCGAAGCTTCAGCACCTAAAAGAGTTCTTAAAAAAAAAAAAAGAAACAAAAAAAATCTTTCGGCTTTCTAAATCGCTGTAACTTTTCATTCTTGCGTTCCTTTAATGTCTTCTGATTAGCCCCTAATTTATTTTCTGAACTTGACATCGATTTCTTGTTCAGGAGCTTTTTTTTCCAATACTCTGTGCACTCATGATTTGGATCGAGTGCCTCGATTGCCTGAATACATTATAATCTAAAAATTAGCATTCGTATAAAGGACCAATGATAAGTCGAAAATATGTGTTTCTATTATAGTAAAATTCTGACTTTGTATTGTATATTTGTGCTTAAGTAACGTGCTTTCGACTTTATCACGTGTCTTCGAGTAGAAACTACCATTGTTGATATTTTGGTACAGTTAGACCATATGAGCTCGACTTGGTGCACATATAACCAACATGGCAACGCTGAAATTTGTTTAACATGGCCATGTCAGTAAAAACGGAGGTGTACAACGTATCAGTTCTTAACATGGGCCTGTTAACATTAAGCTCAATAGGAATACTAAAAGACCAGTCGTAATTAAAGAGGAGCATATCAGATTTTGAAACCTACACTGCACGTACAACAGTCAAGGAACAGACAGAAGGGATCTTCACGAGCAGCACCTTAATCCCTCACTTCTATTTCTCTATATTTTTAGTTATACTTTTGCTAGATTTCATGGAATCCCTGTTCGGCTAATTCTCTTTTGCTATGGTTGAATACGATTGAAACCCCGAACTTAATACTGTGAGATCTAATTAGTTTTGTCTATTAATTCATATTTCGATTAATTGTTTTGTGTGTTTATGTTAATGATTTTGTGTTAAGATCGTAGCTTGATCAACTATTGTCTTATGCACTTATCTATTGCTTGGTAAATATTGAGTCGGATTTAGATGATTTATTTATCGTAAGAAGCAACTAAGTATGGTGATTGACCGGATTTAGGCGTTATCATTCTTAGGCAAAATAATTATACAAGTTAGCATTTAACGGATTAGTTATTTGTTGCTTATGTTGTCGGACTCTACTTCTTAATGCTAATGTTAGGATAATTTTACACGATGTTGGGAATTGCTTAGTAATAAGGGTTGTGTAGAAGAATTTATTTTGCATAGCTAATTTAGGAGTCAGAATTTATCATTCAACGGCATCTACGAATTTATAAATTGATAATATTTGCATCAAGGATCAGTAGAATAATTCGGGGTGAAAATCAATTCAACCGGAGCACTTTACCTATATATTTATCATCATCTTGTTGTTTACTTTTGAATCTTTTATTTAATAATCGTTTGCCATTTCTTTCTTTATTTTCTTGTTAATTAGATAATTAGGATTATAAATCAAATCTCCCCCATTTTAATCACATAGTTAGATCATCTAATTAAATTACTTCCCGTGTATACGATCCTTGCTTATGCTACTACATATTTTTAAGCAAGATTAATTTGGGTGCCTACGACAGCACTTACCAATCAAATTAACATTGAAAATAATACATGTCCCAAGTTGCAATTATGTTTCTAGATGCTCGATTTTTTAAGGGTGCACCTAAACAATGGACAGAGAACAAAAACCAAACATTTTGAGCTCGTTGATGCTAGTCGAGGGCTGTAGAGTTGGTAATCCTTTCTTGCCCAAATGTATTTGCTTCGTTATTTCTTGATTAACTCTCAGCAGAACCATTTCTTGATATCGCCTTGCACAAATTGATCTCCAATTCCAACTTAGATAGTGCATAGAATACTCCAAAACAGAAGTAGCTCCATCAAATGGTAGAGCATCACCAAAACTTCTTTCTGACATACAACAATAGGAAAACGACTCAGAGAACAACAACAGGGGCCCACTTTCGAATTAGATCCTAAAGTTGAAAAAAGATCAACAAGTTACTCGAATGGGCCTTCAAGTGAATGTAAAGAACCTCAATGACATGATACAAGAGGTCTTCACAGAAAAGCCTTCCAGTATAACAAATACAACTTATGCCTAAAGCAATGGTAAAATATTTTCTGGATAGGACTTCAACAAGAATTAATTTATGTTTCACTTGAAAAAACATAAGAAGGACCAGCGAGATAAATATATGATAACTGGAACTTGTTTTATATTATCGAATTTCAAAACTAACCTGGCGGTTCAAATCTTTTGCTTTCTTAGCATATATGCGTGATTCACAAGTTAAGCGGTTGGACATCTGACTGGCCTCTGCAAAATCCAATCTTGTCAAATTATAACATCAGATATTCAACGAGCAAACAAATCATCGGGCAAACAATAAACAAGAGAAAGGCAGCCACATTATTCCATAGTGTTAAAAAATCACTTACGATCCAACTTTTCCATATTCTAGTAAAACAGCCTAAAAATCTAAATACCTACTTCCACACAATTAAAAAAAGAATATCACAAAATAAAAGAGAATGCCATGGATGAAGATGGAGTTACCTCTTGGAGGAGGCAGTGTCGTTGGCAGTTACAGAGATCTTCGACTTGTCCCTGAAATGGTAAACAGGTTTCTTGTTTAAACTCATGAAATAATTACCCTAAAATCATGAAATAATTAATTAATATTATTTTTTTAAACAATTTCTATTTTTTTTTAAAAAAAAATATTTAAATATATAAAAAATAATTGGGATGTATTACAGAACTGGCCTTGACATTTGGCTTTTTATTTTTATTTAAAAAAAAAATCTAGAATCACAACAAGCCCTCAAGTTATTACTTTTTTCACATACCTATGTCACGCTTCGTCATCAGCTTCTTTCACATACCTATGTCATGCTTCGTTTTTTATTTTTACTTTTTTCTCCGTCTAGATAACTATCAAGATAACTAAATATTTCACAAACAACTCATTTGAAAAAATACATTAGGAGCAGATATAGAAGAAATTAACCTCAGCTACATGTTCTCCTTGCCAACTGGATCACAAAGCCTTTTGGATGATTGGTTGGAACTTACATTTCCACATCTGCAATTGAGCAAATTTTTTAAGCAGCAAAACAATCACATTCATAGAAATCAGTTCCAAACCTTGTGCAGATCCATAAAAGTACAGAACTTAATGAGAGTTTTTTCATTAAGTTGGATTAAGACCATTGGAGAAAACACGAATAACAATAAAAATAATATAGCAAGTACGATAACAAAAAGGATAAATAACAAGAAGCTTGACAAGAAAATAGAGAGAGCTTTATTACATTATTGTATTCTGAGCTGCTCATGAACATCTTAAAGGCCTCCGCTGTCAGAAGAAAAAAAAAACAGTGATAAGTTTCTGGGCAATTAAAATTGTAAATCAACAAACGTGCTGAAAGAGACATGTAATTCTCACATGCCCGAAATCGTATTACTGCTGCATGAGTAGTTTCCTTATTGCTCATATTCATTTTCAGATTTGGAATTAAAGCACAATCATAGAATTATTACGAACAAGAATCAGTATTAGCATGTCATATTTGTTACTGCTTCAACTTGTCATATTTGTTAGTACTTCAAATGTACTATGATATCAACATTTAACTGAACAAGAATCAATATTAGTAATAAACACACATATTACCAATATTATTTCCACTAAATAAACATAGTGAACATTGAAGAGAAAATTTGAAGTTATAGTTGATGAAGAGGTATTATATAGAATGGTTAGTTGTGAAGTGACTGGTCGGTCATTTCAGAAATTTGCGAAACACCGTGCATAAGAAAATTACTAATTTAAACTCAGAACACTCATCTTTAATTTTTCACTTCTAAGTTAACTCAAAGAGGGTCAAATTACTAATTTAAACTCAGAACATGAAACCACTAAAACAACATATTTACACACAAAACAGCACATAGGAAGAGCACATAAGGTTCAGTAAAAGAGTTCAACAACATGCTCAACCATTCACGGCAAAGAATAACAAAACAAGGCATCAAATCAACATACACCTGCTCTTCTTATCTTAAACTTTAACAACAGTTTCAAAGCCATGCTAAATGATTTGAAAGGCTCTCGAAACACTCATCTTCATCATGCTAAACATGTAACAAGCTCGGCAAAATGCAAGGTAATTTCACGTCTTAAACACAACAACAAGCACTTCAATCTTCTCTTTTCTTTCTTCTCTTTTCTTTCTCCTAATCAATCCACACTTGGACTGAGCGCACAACTCTGAAACTGATACATTTTTAGTACATAAATAACATGCTAGACCTCACAATAAGGCTCAGCAAACACAAAGCCCAAACAGAGAAAAAATGACATAACATACTTGCTTAAACTTTCTCCTCTTGATTCTAAGGCATGAAATATATATATCGTGGCTGAAACTAACACATTAATAGCTCATTTTCAGCGAGGTCAACACAACAAAAACTGAGGCTCAAACACCCAACAAATCAAGGCAAAAAGGTACCAAAATTCATGCTTTCACTTTCAAACTTCTCAACATTCATGGCATGCTAAAAACACAACTCCCAGCACCAAATTAACATACTAACAACCCCAACAACACAAGCAGAACAAGAAGCACATAACTCAATTACCCCATGTCCTCTCACTTATCTCACAGTTTAACCGAATATAAACATGACTCTTTTAAACCGAACTAAGCACATAAAAGCATATGAATTCTACCAACAACAGTACAAAGAAGCTCAGCCATTATACCTCGATCAGGATTTAAAATGGAAAAGAAACCAGGCTCGGATCTCGGTCCTTTGCTCTTGGCTTCTCGTNTTTTGCGGTGATACTCCCGGTTTGCTCTCAGAAACGGCCCAGCCTGCTGCCGCTCTCGACCGTGCCCCGCCTGCTCTCAGCCCTCCGGCAATCTCGGGCCTGCGTCAGTCGCGGATGAGCTCGGGTCGGACTCGTCTGCACTATGATGACTCTCGGCTGCTCCTCGTCGCCGGAAATTGGAGCTTGGGTCGCGGCGGCTCGCATCTGGTTTCGGTCGTCGGCTATCGGGAACTTTTTCGATTTGCTGGACGAGGTCGCGGCTCGTCAAACAGGGTCGGATTTCAGAAGTTGCGGCTCGTGGATGTTGATGCTCCCGAAGGTCGCAGCCCCGTCGGAGGTCGAGGGTCGCCGTTCACCTTCTCGCCGGAAAATTGGGGCTCAAGGTCGCGGCTTGTTGCTTTCATGGCTGTAGGAGGCTAGCTTCGTGCGGAAGATGTTGGGATTTCTTAAGAAATCGCTAGGACTTTCACTCTATAATTTCTTTTTCAAATTTTTGCAAATGGGAGAGAAAAAGCAGCGGATGAAAACGAATAAAATGAAAATAGAAAAGGGAAAAAAATGAAGAATGTATACAAGGGCAATTAGGTATTTTTCAAGCAAAAATAGCTATATTTTATTTTTTAAAAAACATGGCTAGATTTCATTTTTTCTTTTGTTTAAAGGCTAGATAGGGGCATTACCACTTAATATTTTACAGCACGTAGGTTTCCAAGTAATAATAATAAAGTGTACGTCATGAAAAAAGTCATATATTATTGGAAACCTCTTTGTACATAATAATTATTAGTGATTAATCGGTAACTCGTCGTCCCCACAAACTAATATTTTTAATTTCTATTAATTACACGTGAAACAACATCATATAACTTATCATAATTAAAAACTGATTTTCTCAATAACATGCCAACATGCAATAAGGAACTCATGATGAAAAGACAAAAGGGAACTGTCTTCGCTGGAATTGCACTTGTAGAATCTCCACTGCTACCCAATGATATATGTGGTTATATGGAGATTATATTATTGATTAAGTCATTGATAGATCTTCTAATATATAATTTCGAAGGTATTTCCTACAGAAAAGCGAAGACTCGTCGATATTTTCCACATACTAAATGTTGAAAAGTTTCAAAAATAAAAACAAAAAATAGAGAAATTAGCTACGTTGACTATGACTTCAGTCTTTCCATGCAAGATTATTTTGCAGTTGGCAATTGCCAATTGTAGACCGATATTTACCAAGGTTGCTCTCCACTTGGTAACTAAAAATATCTTAAACACCATTTTCTTCTAATTCTTTATTAATCTTCTAAATGTTAACACCACATACCAAACTGGTGATACGTGCACCCTACATATAATAATTTGATTGTTAAACAAAATATTAAGAACTGTATTTAATTGAATAATATATATAGATATATACCTCAATATCATGAAAAAATAATCTCATGATGTTATGGTAAGAATTAGGAAACATGTGGTCCATGCGAAAATAAACTATGAATACAAAAATCATACTATAGCTTCTTCCCATTTCTTCTTTTTTCATCTTTTTCTCCAAACATGAATGCCTAAAAAAAAATCAAAAAAATTAATAAAAAAAATAATGATCATTAAGTTATATACATTCATAACAATTAAATTAACTAAAAAGCAACAAAAGGTTAGCTATTGTAACGATAAAAATTAATGATATATATTATGAAAACAACAAACACGATACTACAAAGCAACAATATGACATATGTCAAACAACATAAAAGCAACTTCATATTACTAATAAAATATTTACAACTTAAATTTTGTGAATAAATATATAAAGCATTGAATCCCATAATAACAAAAAGTCATGCCTATAAAAAACTTCAACAGCAAAAACATCAGTAATCAATAAAAGCTCCAACAATCAAACATGCAAATCCAATTCCTTGACCATACATAACAGCATTAATAAACCACAGACCCCTCTGAATTTCTTAGTTTACAAAACCAAACAGAAACATTAAGAAGCCCCTACAAACCCATCTAAGATCTAAAACTTCAATAAAATGTCCGCAGACAATGGCAACAACAAACAAACAATTCAATTACAGTAATGACATGAAAACGATTTATGAGACATTATCGGTGAAATACAGAATTAACAAGTGAATATGTGAAACTTAACGCACGGTTTCATTCTATGACGCCATATTCCATAGAAAGGAAATAAATCAGCATATTAATATTGATATAGCCATATCGTCTCCTACCGGCCCAAGAATTCTCTATTCGACCGGGCGACCGGCCAGATCGACCACGTGTCAACATGTTCCAGTTGACATGCTCAAATCGACTTCTTCAATGACGATTCTTTACCGAATACAAGGAAGAGCTTAATCCATACAAGTCGACTTCACTTAGTCGACTCCCACTCGAGAAGACTAATGATACCGTAAGCCTCCGAATATGCTGAAAGTCCCAAGTCGACCTCTTGATACTCAAGGTCGACTCCGTGTGCCTTGAGGCGTGAAACACACTGACGATTCGATATACTTATGGTATCTCCTGAAGTCTCTTATCCTCCAATGGATAAGAGGGAATCTTGTGATGACTCAGCAGCAAGGGGGAGACGAACCGACTGGGGCATTTTGGACCTTTCATACTAGTCGACCAAGGCATTTCGGGTACTTCAAGTAAGTGTTCACTCCTATATAAAGGAGGTGAGGTAACCCTAAACCCTAACTTTCATTCACTCCATACTCTCCTCTATAGCTGCTGCTGCTCTCTGAGAGCAGCCTGTCTTCATCTCTTTCACATACTGACTTGAGCGTCAGAGGCTCTACGCCAGAAACACTTCCGGCGTTGAGTTCTTCCAGGTGTTATTCGCGGTCTAGCAACGGTTCAAAGGCGATTCAAGCAGATCTGAGCTCATTACCACCGGTTCACTCCAGATCTGAGAGTAGACCCATCAAATATAAATAATATAAACTAACAATTAGGGCGTAAAAAAATGGAAACAAGATCAACATATTTGTCATAACTAATAAGGTATAAATAATATTTTAAAAATGATCTGGCCTGAACTCGGTTGATTTGCGATTGGGCGCCGGAGCAGAGGCTAGGAACAGCTACGCCGACAGCCGTTTTCGACGGTGTAGGCTCCTCGGCAACCGGGATTCAAATCTCGACATAATATACAAAAAATATAATTTATCAGGGGCTCGAGAATTTACCAAGAAATGGAGTTTGGCTCGGAAAACGAAATGACAACTCAAGGCACGACTAACGTCAGATTTCCGAAATAAGTTCAGCCCCTAAATTCAAATGACGAACTCGAGATGGAAAAAAAAGCTCAGATTTTCACTTCGGTTTGAAACAGAAAATAAAGGCTCGACGAAGAACAACGAACAACATAGCATGAATTATAATCGATTTTTCGTAACTTAAAGACTTAAATTCTACTAACATGAAAACATGTACTTATAATCGAACTTTTTTCTAAAAGTTTCGAAGGTTTACCGTTCGCCAGTCGAAGAAGAAGAATCGGGCTGGAAAATGTTGATTTTTTGTCATCGAAACTTGTTTTGTCTCAGCCGCACGAAGCTTGTATCAACCCCGCGAGAATCCTCGTCTCTGCCATGGAAAAGCGCTGCTCATGTTCCTGGAAGAAGCCTTGCCAGTTGCCGGACGTGCTCAGAAACCTGCTCAGCTGCGGGCTGCTTGCTCTCGCTGCTCCAGCCGCGGGGTTCTGATTCGCCCGTTCGCCGGAACCTAGTGCTCTCGGTTCGGTGCCCTCAGGCGATCTCGGTCTCGCCGGTGAAATTTCGGCCAAAAAAAAATATATAAATAAACTTGGGAAAGGAAGCAAGAAGGAGAATAAGGCGTGATTTATGGAACGACTAAAGAATTTGAGAAGAGATAATAAACTTGGGTGCGGATCTTTGGGGGAATATAGAGGGTGAATACTGACCTTTAGTATCAGTGTATACTCTTTTACACACAGACTTTCTCTACATGTTTATCTCCACGGAAAATATGGAATAATTTTGTTAGGATATTAAACAAATTAGGCTGATTTTGAGATTTTTTTTTAAACGCGTAACAATATTGTACACGCGTGAATTACGCAGAAAAAATTTGTTCTGAAGATAATAGACAGATAAAATGTGAACGTAAATTGGTTTATAAAATCTGTACCAAATCACGCATCATCCAGATTTAACGAAATCAGTTTAAACGAATTCTTTATCCAAAAATTAAGGAATTATTTTGTCATATTAACAGTAAAATATCTTTGCCGTGCACAAAAATCGGAAAGATGGTTTTTGGAATGATTTAAACTAAAAAGAAAATCAAGAGAAAGAAAAATCATTTTCGAATTTTTTACATGGTTTCCACAAATGGGAAATCAATGCATTTGTTGACCAATTTTTTAAAAGTTTCCACAAATTATTTATTGACCTCTCTTTTTCAATATATATAGATTTTACTATCACCTACATTGAAATTTTTGTATATTAACAAAATAATAATAATAAAAATAATAATAATAATAATAATAATAATAATAATAATAATAATAATATAATAATAATAATGTCAGGCTTGCTTCACTATTTCCTAATATTTTTAACTCTCCCTTATAGAAAATAAAATCAATAGTAAATAATATTTTTTTTTATAATTACCTATCTTAAAAAATAACTCAGGCAGACCTGACTTTCATGTACGTTAACCTGAACCAACCCAAGTTCGACTCCCAGTGGATTGGGTCCTTGGTCTCGAGTCAAGCTCAAACTCAATTAAGCCGAGACAATAAACGAGCCGATAAACAAGCTAAACTTCAGCCAGTATATCAATATTTATGAGCCGAACTCAGCCCAAACAAGCTGAGCTATAATATAAAAAATTGTATAAAAAAATTCTATTTTCAAGTTTTAAATTAAACGAGTACAAGCTTGTACTCAGCTTGTTTGAACTCACAAGTGGCTCGTTTAACAAGTCTATTTTCGGCTAATCGTGAGCAAAAACACCCAAATATATAGGAGCTAAAGCTCTGCTCATTTATATGCTTGATAAAAACTCAAGTTCGAACTCGAATATCAACAGCTCAAGCTCTTCTTACATAAAAAAAGACTACAACTAAA